CTCTGACCCCACTCCAGGCACTTCCTTTGGACATGGGGAATGCATCCCCTCCCTCAGCCCCTGGGCCGCCATCTTGGGCGGGAACCAACCTGTATCCCAGGTCTGTGCGTTCACTCCTGCGTGGCCCATGTCTGGCCTATTGGAAACACTTCTGTATCTTTTTCCTGACAAACTCTGGGAGCATGGGCTTCTTTAAGTCAGCAATTTCTCTCTAGAGCCAGGCCGGACACAGTCTCTCACCCTTCAGATTTTTCCAGGTGTGGGTATGACCCCAATCCTCTGTGTGTATTAAGTTGTGGGCTACAGGGGGCACTTAGACTCTCTCTCTCATTTCTTTCAGCTATTACAGTTCCAGAGCATTGTTCTATGCCTGGGGCACTCAATAACTAGAAGAGACCGTATTGTGTAGTGGTTAGACCCCCAAGACTCTGGTTTCAAAATGCCAGCTCTGGGTTCCAATGCCAGCTCTGCCATGTACTGGCTGTGTGATCTTGGGCAGGCTACTCAACCACTCTGTGCCTCAGTTTCCTTATCCATATAATAGGGATGAAAATAGAGCCTATTTCATCAGGTTTTTAGGAAGATTAAATAAGATAAAATTTGTCAAATGCTTAGAGCAGTTCCTGAGACACTAGGCAAGTATTTGTTAAATAAATATCGGGTAAAAAAAATGTTTAATAAAATATCAAAAGCGAGTTAATGGCAACTTTACCAGGCTTTCTTTAATTTCAGGAGTTCTGGGTTTTTCTATCCTAATCTCTTTTGGGTGATGTCCAAGCAGGACCCGCCCATAGCCACAACCCCCTGAGACATAGCTGGTGTTATAGGAAGGTCTGGAGATCTTATTAAGCACCTAGAAGATATCCAGTCCTGTTTTATTCCGAGTGCTAGGAATGCTGAAAAGTATGTGTCGAGGGAGAGTGACTCAGGGCCTTAGAAGGGATGACCACAGCAGGAGTTCCCAGATATAACATTTTAGAGTTTCTGGGAAAAGTAAAAGCAGTGATGGGCATCGAAGGTTTCATTTCACAACACTCTGCCAGCCCTGCAGCCTGGTTAATCCATACCTTGTTCTGCTCTGTGCCTTAGTGTTTACTCAGGAGGGGGAGGTCCTCATGGATGATGAGACATTTCTGAGTATCTTGAGACAGTTAATTATCCTACTCTCGACAGGCCTGAGGGGGCTAAAGCTGAAACACAGGGAAACTATGCGACTTAGCCAGTCACGTAGCACAGGCGAGGCCGAGCCGGGTCAGATCTCTGGACTCCAGACTTACGTTTAATCTGATGGGATTCGCCGCCACGCTGCTATCCCAGCACGGACTTTGTTTAGTCACAGAAGCTGCTAATATGATTTCAGAGATGTGTGGCTAGGGACTCCTGGGTCATCTGGTGAAAATGACGTTACCAGGAAGTTAAAGTACTCGAAGCTCTGGAGAAAGTTGTGTGTCAGGATCAAGTGGGGAAAAAAAAATCAAAATAAGATGACCAGAAGTCAGCTGTATATATAAACAAAAGGAAATCTGTTTTACTATAGACAATATGGAGACAGGATAAGGGTGTTACCACTTCACTGATGACTTCTAGAACATACTAAGTTTGGTACAGCCTCCAAGATTTAAGATAGCATGATTTTAGAAGAAACAATTTGTAACTGCACGTTTGCATTTACGTTTGAATATCTGGCCATCAAGGAATTCACCTTTTTTTTTTTTTTAAGTTTTATGAGGACTCAAAGGAGTTGGAAAAATAATCATCTTTTATTTTCTACGCTTTTTGAGTTCCTTTCTTGGTTCCCATTGAGAAGGGCAAAGGGTAGTGGAAAGACAATGGGTTTTGGAGTTGTACAGGTCTAAGTTCAAATCCTGACTCTAGTATTAATGGCATGACCTTGAGCAGTCTGCTTAGCCTCTCTGACCTTCAGTCTCCTTATCTATGGAATGGTTATGATAATACTTACCTCACAGGACTGAAGTAAGCAAAGCCTCCACTAAGTGCCTGGTACACAATAGACACCCAGCCGGGTAGGGACTGTCACATATTTTAGACTTATTTAAAATGCCAGTTGAAAATGGATTTTTCAAAAGAGCGTGACATTGATGCAAGGATAGACAGATCAAAGAACAGAATAAAGAGTTCAGAATCAGACCTGCACATACATGGCTAATTGATTTTTGACAACATTTCCAAGATAATTCAAAGGGAAAAGGATAGTTTTTTCCACGAATGGTGCTGGAGCAATCGGGTATCCGTATGCAAAAAGAAAACGAACCCTGACCCATCCCTTGCAACATATACAAAAATTAACTGGAAATGGATCATGGACCTGAATGTAAGAGCTAAAACTATAAAACTTCCAGGAGAAAAATCTCTGCAACTTTGAGTTAGACAAAAATTTCTTAGGATACAAAAAGCACAAACCGTAAACACTTTTGATAAATTGAACTTCATTATTAGTAGGAAACGTTTGCTCTTCAAAAGACACTCTTAAGAAAATGGAAATGCGAGCCCCAGACTAGGAGAAAATATTTGTAAAATGGATTTATATCTTTATCATTGCTGTCTCCTGAAATTGTGGCATAGAGTAGATATAATTGACAATTTTTGTGTGCCCCCATCCTCTCCCTGATAGACTGCACTTTCTAGATGCTTCTCCTTCTCCCCTCACAATTTATGCCATATTCACCACCGTAATTCTCATAATACTCTTAAGAGTGAGGGCTGTCACCACCGTAATTCTCATAATACTCTTAAGAGTGAGGGCTGGAGAGACGATCGAGCTATGTTATGAGATTGCATCTTAAATTCCACTCTTGGTGGGAGAGAAAAGGGAGAGACCAATAATGAAAAGTCTGGAGACAGGCACGTGCACATCAGGAAGCAACCTCAAGCCTTTGGTAGCAACAGGGCACTCTCAACAATGACGACAGAAAGTGGAGACTGAGCATGCGCATTCTGCCAGACATGGCACTAAGCGCCTTACTTGCATCATTTCATTTAACTGTAGTAGAAACAGGCGTGCACAGCGCCAGCACTGAGCCCCGGAGGAAGCACAGACATCAGACAGGCATCCAGCAGAGTTTCATCTGGGCTGTTCCCTCCCTTACGCCTGCAACTGATTTTGTTCTTCCCATGTCTCTGACTTCACTGTCCTGTGGACTTCATTCCGGATTTGTCCCTTCGTCTATGTCTTTTCTTGGTTTTACTGCCTTGGGACTATTGGCTCAGGTTTGGGGATTTATCCTGTTTGAAACTTCAGCCTCTATTTGGTTTCCTGGCATGGGGCTTCATCCTTCCTTGTTCCTTAAATCTGGCAACCCTTTTTCTCACCTCCTTTCCGCCCCCTCAGTGCTTCCAGTTCGCAGTGCTTGACCATCTAGAGTGATGACTAATCTCATATGTCGCAAGGTACATAATCAACAATACTGGGGTCAATAATCAACAGGTATTGCTCTCATGGATCTCTCTTGTTCGTGTCCCCGACAAACCGCTGTTAGGCATTGCTGAAAATGGAAGTCTTCAGGTACTTATGATAAATACAGGTTGAAAAGGCCAAGTCTACCCTGGCCAAGATAGCTGTTGAGCTTTTTAAGTATTGATATAACTTGAGGATGTCTTTACTGGTGTGAGCAAAATTCCAGTATGTGGATGATCTTGGTGTTGGAATATCAACTTGGTCTGGATACCCCAGAGCCAGCTGGGGACTCGTGGGTCAGCCCAGACCACAAGGTGAGTAGACCAGTGGGGGAAACAGCAGCATGTGCTCATCATCCCACTCTTTCCACAGGTGTCCTAAGAGAATTAGGGCCAGGTGCTAACCCAGGCGGGTTCCTGCAGCAGCAGTGAAAGTTCCAGTGCCTGGGCTATATATGTTCCAGATGGGGCAGAGGGACATTGCCATGCTTCCCTTCAGCTTCAATGTAACAACAGCAGAAGCACAACAGATGTTTTCTTTAGAGTTGATTTCTCAGGACAGTCTGGCTGCAATTCACAGGCCACAGACAAGTGGGGGCAGAGCATCCTTTTTGATTCCCTTCAACTTAGAATGAGAGCCTCCCAGATTAAGCATCCCGGGGAGCAGATGGACCGACATCAAAGTCTTCGTTTCCTTTCCCAATTTTGATCACAGCAACCATTTTATCACAGGGTCTATATAGGTTTTAAAAGCTTGAACTGTGCTCAGTTGCTCACCAGAAGAATTCCTGCTCCTCCCCTGACCTGCCAGGGACAGCAGAGATGTGTGAACGGTCTCTGTGTGCCGCTACGGAGGAGCAGCCCTCTGCTATAGAAATGGAGCAAAACCTGCCCATAGTATCTTGCACTGTGACCTGTTTCCACTTCACGCAGACTGTTGAAAACAATCTGGAAGATGTATTTTTTAATTTAAAAATCAGATTTCTGAACTTGATGTGGAAGACAGGTAGAATCTCTTTGCGCTTTTTAAAGGGCTAACCTGCACCAGCCAGCCTTAAATCTTAAAACAGTTAAGCTGAAAGAAACTCAAATGATCACACAGGTCCTATAATTCTACTAGCTGAAAGCACTTTGTCTAACAATTTTAAAGATCAGGAATCTGAGATGAAGCCAGGTTCAGTGAAGATTTATTAAATTTACATAGTCAGGGGAAGAGCTGAAACCTAAGCCTTAGTTTCTTGACAGTAAATCCTGCACTTGCTTCCAACTCTCTTTCATCTAGATTGTGGTATTTGACTGTCTGCAAACCTGTAGACGACATCATGGTTATTCCCCACGAGGGAGATAAAGCATGAACTAATTTTCAATAAGAGTGGTCTTTAGGGGTAACAGTTCCAACTGGGCACATTCTTTTCACTCATTTTCATGGCCACCTGAAAACTTTGGCTTGGCGCTGGGGAGCGAGGAGCTGTTCCCACTTCCCAGTCTTTTTCTTTTCACAGCTGCAAAGTTCAGTGAGCTGAACTGCTGTGCTCTGAGTTCACTGTTCACTCTGCCACGACCAACCTCTGTTGTAAATTTTCCTCCCAGAGCACGTGACAATGCGTTTCTTGACTATATATCTCAACTGCAGCAGCAGACTTGTCAGAGCGCTGAGCCCGCACAGAGGAGGAACGCTCTTGGACTCGGCGATTTAGGAAATCGGGACTTTGCACAGATTTGCCAGCCTTTGGTAAGTTAGCCACGCCACTTTGCTTCAGAAACATTTAAAAGAAGGATATTTCCAGCAATGAGTGGATGCAGTTTTCCTTTCCTTTCTCTGTTCTCGGGAAACTTTGTTTTGAATTAAACATAGGTTTAAGTTGGCAAAGTGAAATGTAAACTTTCTTTTTTCTGCTCCATCAGTTAAAAAAAAGTTTCCCGGGGATTAAAATGTTATTTATTTTCTCTACTTTCCCTTGTTTTATATTGACTTTTTCCCTTTTGTTTTTAAAATTACAAAAGCGTTCCTTTTTACATGCTTACTTCACCAAATGCAAATATGACAGGCATGTATACACTAAAAATGAAAGTCTTCCTTACATTCCCACGACTTGCCCCTGCCTTCAACGCCTCCCAGCTAACCACCGTTAACTCTGTGGTGGGACCTCTCACTGCTATTTCTCCGCGCAGCTATAAGCTTTTTTGATGTTGCAATTCCTCAAACCTGCTGCTCACCCTCCTCCCTGTACTGTGGACCCGTGGAGAGTTCTAACCTGCAGTTTCTCCCCAGACCCTGGCCGTGCGAGCAGTGCTTCAATGCTGAAGATGGAGCCTCTGAACAGCACCCACCCCAGCACCGCAGCCTCCAGCAGCCCCCTCGAGTCCCACGTGCCCGCCAGTGGCAGTGGCAACGGCAATGAATACTTCTACGTTCTGGTTGTCATGTCCTTCTATGGCATTTTCTTGATTGGGATCATGCTGGGCTACATGAAATCCAAGAGGCGCGAGAAGAAGTCCAGCCTCCTGCTGCTTTACAAAGACGAGGAGAGGCTCTGGGGGGAGGCCATGAAGCCGCTGCCCATGGTGTCGGGCCTGAGGTCGGTGCAGGTGCCCATGATGTTGAACGTGCTGCAGGAGAGCGTGGCGCCCGCTCTGTCCTGCGCCCTCTGCTCCATCGAGGGAGACAGCGTGAGCTCCGAGTCCTCCTCGCCGGACGTGCACCTCACCATCCAGGAGGAGGGGGCGGACGACGAGCTGGGGGAGACTTCGGAGACACCTCTCAATGAAAGCAGCGAGGGCTCCTCCGAGAACATCCATCAGAATTCCTAGCACCCCCAGGGCCTCTGGAGGTGGCCCCGTCAGCCAGCACCCTTAGAGAGAGGAAGGACACTCTTCGTGTCTGGTTTCACTTGTGCAGTGCAGCTGTCGCTTTGAAGAGACCCTTGGCAAGCCCCTGGATGGGAGGTGGTGGGGCGCCAGGCTCAGCTGGAGCCGGTTGCCGCCAGGAGTCCACGACCTGCCTGTGGTGTGGACCCACCACTAAAACAGCCCCGAAGGTGTGCAGTGTGTACATTGACTTTGGGGCCTGGGGGTCGGGGTTCCTGTGCAGAATTTGGCAGGTCGATGTGCTCGCTGGTGTTTCCTCACTGGATGCCCTGGGTACCTCCTGCCGCATCTGCCCGCTCCCAGGGCTGCCAAATGCCTAGGACACGCGGAGGGACTAGTTTTGATTTGCTAAGTTGCCTAGAACCTTGTTCTTCTAGATCTTATTGGCTGTAAGTACCTCTACTGTGTACCTGGGGCATTAGTTCACAGCGGGTTACAGAGATTTTTTAAATAAGGAGGAGTTAGGGGGGAAATTGGACGGGAGACTTGCTGGGAGAAAGCTGGAGATTGAACCTGGCCCGTTTGCATACTGTAAGGAAAAAATGGCAACTTTTAAACCTGTTAACATTGGCTGGGATTATGAGACATAATCTGCTATTTTGACCTGTTGTCTAACCTATGACCTTGAACTTTGACTTAGGACCATCCAGCATTGCGGGCTGGCATGACATTTTTTCGGTTGGAAGAGCTTCCTCAGAATCTAACATGCACTCTGAATGGCCATGCAGGGACTCTTCCCGATCTTTCTAGAAAGGGTGATGGTGGGTTGAACAAGGCCAGACTTTTAGCTCTGCTGCTGCTCATTTTCCCAGCCTAGTTTTCTGAGCTGGGAGAGGACATAACGGGGGCCTCCACGATATGGCATTTCATCACGTAGCTGAGACCTAGAGGGCATATCAGGCGGAGATTGCACAAAGCTGGGGTCCAATTCTGTGTTTCCTGATCCCGAGCCCTGACACTGATTTGTTGTGTGGTCCTGGGCATGTCACCAAGAGGCTTACTGCCTCCATGAGACTCCTGATGATCTAGATCCCCAGGGGGCTGGGAGGATGTCTTTAGATTTTAGGACTCTGTGATAAATCCTGCCTGGCCTGGTGTGAGGAAGCTTGGACAAAATATTTCCCCCTTGGCCAGTTAGTCTGAAAAAGGATCTGCTTATTTAAAGGAGCAGTTGGAGGCACAGAATACATGTCACTGGGAAATTCAGGGCAAATCACCAACCCACCCCTGCTGTTTTTTTCCCAGCACTAAACCAGAGGCAGATACCACATTGGCCTCTGCAAAGTTCTCTGGGTGGTGGAATGTGAACGCTCCAGCTAAGGGAACGAGAAGCCTAAAAGAAAATGCTCAGGAATGCTTGCCAGTGTCTCCATGTATTTCTGCGGTCAATAGCTTTGTAGCAGATCCTTTAGGCCCCTGAAGACAAGGAAGAAGAGAAATACACCAAAAGGTCAAATTTAATTCTAGTAAAAACAAAAACTTTTTTTTTAAACATACTCTCCCTAGATTGGAGACAGCATTAACTACTGTTCCCATGGAAGGGTTAACAGTGTAGAAGCTGGTTTATTGGTTCGCCTTAAAGCAGCGCTAGAGGAAATTTATGTCTGGGGGAAAAGGGCCCTCGTTCCCTTTAAAATTCAGAACGTGGATTTACTCCAAAGGGGGCTGTTTAAGGTGAAAGAAGCCAAGTTCATTTTGGCCCCTTGCCTGGAATCACTTGAATTCTGAAACTTTACTGCGACGGACATGTGCGTTGTCACATTTTCCATTGCTTAATCCTGAAGTTTGGTGCAAGTCTATCTGCGCCTATTAAAAAGTGATGTATATACTTCCTTCTTATTCTATTGAGTTGTATAAAATTGTCTTCTGTATTTAACTGTTTGTAATTTTCACAATATTTTTTAATTTAAATAAACAAACACATTTTCTCTAGGAAATGATGAGTTCTTTCTTTGATTCTTCAATACAACTCCTGTTTTCTAAAACATCCCAGACACACTTTCCAAGCCATCATCTTCCAAGTCAGACTCGCATGAAGACAGATCTTATTTTTGCCTGAATTATGGAGTGAGTGGGGCTGGGCTTTTCCAACCTTTGATATGCTTTGCAATGAATAAAAAACAAGCTGCAGACGAGTCTTACATCCACTTCTCTTTTGAAATTTGGTGGCCACAGGGCCTTTGAACTTGAATGTGCAGTGACATGGTAAGTGTTGCAAAGATGTTGCTCCAAATTTGGTTGCAGGAAAACACTTGATTTGCGTGTTGGCTGGGCAAATACCATCCACACGTGGACACAGCAGCACAGACTAACGGGCAGGGAGTTGCTATATATGCAGCAACATAAACTTATGAACATGCCAAAACATGCAGGGTATGAGCTGGAGTTGTCCCTGCTTCCTCTCCCTGTCACCTCCGCACGAGGACTGCCAGTCTGGGCTCCTCCCACTTGGTCTTGCTGTAGCTCTGCCCCACAGGCTGAGACACAGCAAGCCTGCTGCAGCCTCTCCTTTTATGATTTTATTTATACAATCAGAAGTGCTAAAGACAAAGTACCCAAACCAGTGACCTCTTTTGAATCAAGCGGATAGTAAAGAGCATCTTTACTTTTATGTTTCTCTGTGTCCTGTGAGTTTGACTTTTCCGTTTCAAGTAAACATTTCCATTAGGTTCACAAATAACTGTCTCCCTAAAGAATTTATCTGGTGAAGGTGTGGGGGAGCCTGGATCCTTCCCAAAGCACATCATAGATCTCGACCCACCAGCTGGTACTATGATGATGGAAGATGAGAAGATTATTTGAAAAGACAAGAAAGCCCTTCAATTTATCCCAGCTTTATGTCATTCTTGGTGAGGAACTAGTTAAGGAAAAAATTTTTCACCATGGGTGGAAAAAGAGGGAATTCTAAACTCTAATTGTCCTAAAAATATGCAGAGTACACTATGTCGTTTTAATGGAATATTTATTTTCTTTGAAAAAATAAAAAAAACGAACTTCTAAGCAGAACCTAAGGCCCAAGGGGTTTAGTCTGTGTGGATTTACTCATGCATGTGAAAAACCGAGAAGGGAATTTGGCCCCGTGTACCTAGGATATTAGAAACATATTTTAAAGCACTTAAATGTTAGGGATGAGGTAAATGGATCGTCCTGCTCGGTCCATGCTGTTCTAATTACACCTTTGTACGTCAAAGTCAGGCAGGGATGCTGCAGAGAAAAAGATTTCTTTCGGGGACAGAATCATGGGATCCAAACTACCGGGAAAGGCTGAAGTTGGACTAAGAAAAGAGAGCTCTTGGCTCACGATTCTGGTTGGAAAGTAGACCCCATGGTACTTCTGAGAGCTGCAGTTGGAGGGTTTTGTGCTCAGGCATGCACTTCCAGGGCTCAGCTGAAGAAGGGTCATTTATCATTCTGTAAAATGCTGCTCTGATCCTAGACATTGTGGAACAGATAGACAGTTGAGCTTATAATGCAACTGATACTCCAAGTTTAGACAAATCATACATTTTCTAAGTTGCCTTACCCAAAACCTAGGCACCCTGCTGGAGAAAACCACAAGACAGAGGCAGAGTCTAGAGCTGGCAAGAGACATGTCAGCCAACTGACCGGATGGTGGCTGAGAGAGGGGCTGGACCACAGGAAGGCAGGGCGCACATGTGGGCTCAGTAGAGGCTCGGCCTTGTTATGTCTGGCTGTCTAGCTTCACTCTGCTGCCTTGTTGCTCTGAAGCTCTGTGGAATCTACCCAACCTCTCTGACCTGCAGTCTGTCTCTTTCAACATGAGGAGGACACGCTGGCCTTCCTCTTTGGGGAGCTGTGAATAAAAAGAACGGTGCAAGACTGGGAGAGACTGAACGCTGCGTGAAACTAAAGGGAAAGCAGCTTCAAGCATCTGCTTTTGAAAAATGTGTCCTGGCATCCACCTGCAGATAAAGTCACCGAAACCTCCTCTTCTGTGCATGGTTTCCTCAGGAGACTGCAACGTTCGGGAAAGGACACAATTTGCCAAAGGAGAAGGGTCATAGAGAAAAAGCACTGTTCAGTTCTGCCTTTCCCATTTCTGAACGTTTCCTCCTAAACAGGAAGGAGCAGTTTGGGATGTGAGCTGTTACCATGGAGATAACCAGCCAGGGTCAGTGTTTGAAGGCGCCCATGGCCCCACGGTACTGGATCATTAGAGCGACTTGATGAAGTTGGGATTCGGTCCTTGACTCAGGCAACGAGCTCTGAGCCCAGGCAGCCTCCATCCATGGGGTGGAGGAAGGGACACAGGGAGAACACTGTTCTGTTGTCCCCCACAACCTCGTCTTTCTTCTCCTTGCACCTCCCCTGCCCCATTCAATACAGGGCTGAGATTTTGTTCTCGCAGCTGAAGGAATTTGTTTTCTTACCTTGCATTTCCTTGCTGAGAAACGTGATCAAAGAATTCTTCACATCAATAACTACACCCTTTTCCTGTCCTTCATGGTTTTCCACCTCCTGAATGGCAGTTTCTCTCTTGTCTTAGTTCCGGTGGCTATTACAAAGTACCAGAGACTCCGTGGCTTATAAGCAACAGAAACTTAATTCTCACAGTTCTGTTGGCTGTAAGTCTGAGATCAGGGTGCCAGCATGGTCTGGTTCTGGTGAGGGTCCCTTCTGGTTCACAGATGGCTGACTTCTTGTATCCTCACATGGCAGAAAGAGGGTAAGCTAGCTTTCCGGTGGCTTCTTATAAGGGCACTAATCTCATTCATGAGGGCTCCACCCTCATGACCTAATTACCTTCCAAAGGCCCCTTCTCCAAATACCATCACTTTGGGGATTTAGATTGCAACATATGAATTTTAGGGGGATACAAACGTATTCAGTCCATAACATCTCTTTTCCCAACCTCCCTCCCTCTTTTCCTTTCTCACTTCCTTCCATTATACAAAAGGAACAACAACAAAAAATCAGTAACCACACTGAATAATACTTATTAAGTAGTTATGACATGCCAAGCACACACTTCACCCAATTGTTACAACCCTGTGCTTCGAGCATCTACTCTCTTTTAGGCACTTCGCTTAGGAGCTGGGAAAAATGTGACACCTGCCCAACCCCCAAAGAGGTCATAGTCTTCATATAGATGAATTCCAACAAAAATAACTCTGTTTCTGGTTAATTTATAACATTAGTTTAGTATTTGTGTGTGCAGGATCCTCTGGATATAAGAAGACGTAGCTTCTGTCTTTGAACAGCTTGAAGACGCCATGGTGTGATTAAATGGATAAAATGTATTGTTTATCTAACATTTGCTTTGCTCTGTGAAGGGCACTTTCCCTTGGATTATCTTATTTAATCTTCCCAAGGAAACTTTGAGCTAGGTCTCTAATACTGTTAATTGTAGATATGAAAGTTGAGATTCATGAAAGATATAGTTGCCAGCCAATGTAATAAAGGATCAAGATTCCAGTGCAGGTCTTTTGACAT